ACTTGCCAACCATTACGGTAACAGGTGATTCTGATTCTGCAGCTAGTAGATACTGAGACATTTGCACAGAATCTCAAAGGATAGCCCCACGAGACAGCTCTTTTTCCACAAGAGTTTTTTGGTGGAAATGCAAATTGGTTCAGTTCTTTTCAATAATGCATCAACAACCTTCAAAATATACCAAACTATATTCTAGACAATTACAATCTAATTTTAAGGGCAATCATTTACATTTTTCTGTAGAAAGAAATCAGTGTTCTCTCTTTAAGCAATTTTGGATAGTACTTCTCAGCTGTTCTTTGAAAGTTTTGTATGGACTCATTTATACACAGTTGGCTATAGTATAAAGTGTTATGCTGCCAAAAGGCAAATAAATCCCTGAGCTCATTTTCTCACTTCTCAAGCAACTAAATGACCAGGCTAGTCCAGGCATCCGCATGCCTGAAGGTTCGGTGGTGGACTGGCGGGAAGGGCCTTGCATGCCATCTGGCAGCTGGGAGTAGACCTTGCCAAGTGTGACGTTACCAGACTCGGAGGGCAAGCAGACCAAGGAAGAGAGCGGCGCTCAGAGAACTGAAAGGAAAGGCAGGTTTTTTCACTACTGGGCTCGGTAAGTCACCTTCCAGAGTCTGAGCCCCGACTGTTTTTATTTTTATATTGCTCTTTAGGCAGGGTGGGGAAGCAGGCTCAATTTTACAGAAGCAGAACTTAGCACAGGGGCAGGGAGGTGCACATAGATGCTGCTTTATAAAACAGTCTGTCTCTCAGACATAGGGAGGTACAGGCAGGTGTTGATTCAGCAGTTCATCTTTCGGGCACAGTGACCTTCGTGGGTTTAGCAGGAGGGTAAGTCTTGAGACTGTTCATCTCTGCCTTATCTTTTGTTTTTTTCCATTTCAGTGGTGGCCAGCTATTTGGGAGGCTGAGGATCAAAAGTTCAAGGCCAGCCTGGGCAACTTAGGGAGACCCTGTCTCAAAATAAATGGCTGAGGAGAGCTTTGTAGTGGTGGGCAATTTAGTAACTTGGCAAGACCCTGTCCCAAAATGAAAAGTAAAAGGGCTGGGGATTTAGCTCAGTGGTTCCGCCACTTGCCTCACAAGTGCAAGGCCCCAAGTTCAATCCCTGGTACCTCCCCTCCAAAAAATTCATAATACAAAATACCTATATACCTGACATCCCAGGATCAATATATTTGAGTCACTAATCTAACAGGTTAGGTTAGTATTGTCTTCCTCTCTCCTTGAAACCAACTTGCTTGGAGGGAAAAAAATTACCATTTCTGAGTAAGAATTGTTTTAGCCAAGCAGAAAGGAGTTTAAGTTTAAATGCTGTTAGCATTTTTTCATAAAAAGCCACAACTTGCTAACTCAAAACTAAAGTTGATAACCTCTTGAAATCCTCTTCAATGCCTTGCATAGTCTGTGTTAAACTCAGTTAAAAAGGTGAACTCTAGGGCTGGGGGTTTTAGCTCAGTGGTGCCACCGCTTGCCTTGCAAGCACAAGGTCCTGAGTTCAATACTCAGTACCAAAAAAAAAAAAAAAAGTGAACTCTATAGAGGCCAAAGAAATTCATTTGAAACTTGAGGTGCCACCACTCAACAGAAATTCCAACTCAGGATTAACAGCTGAAACATTAAAGTGAAAATCACCAAAGTGAAACAGCGCACTTCAGATAACCTGCATATGACGTCCATTTCAGTGTTTTGCTTGGAGGGAGGAGAGCAGGTCAAGTATTGAAAAGAAAGGAAAATATTTGAATTAGGGGGATCATGGAGTCTTTCAGAAGAATGAAAATTTGAGCTCAGACCTGGTAGAAGTGAGACCATGTAATGATCTAGAGGGAGTGTTCCGCAAAGATGAAAACTTAAGTTCACGGGCTTAAACTGGGAGTTAGTTAATGAGAGAAAAACACCAAGTAGGCCCATGTGGCCAGAGCAGAGTGAGACACAGTCATAGGACATGGGTGAGAGAGCCAGGCTGGGGAGATTGGCATCATGTCGTGAGCTTCCGGGAACAAGGAGACTGGGAATCAGACTCTAAGTAAAATGCCAGCCACTGAAGCGCTCAGAGCACGAGAGCACAAGACCTGAGCCCCTTATGCTGTTAAGAGATTACTCTGCCTGCTGTGTGGAGAAGAGACTGCAGCGGGGTAAGGAGTGAAGCACAGAGACCGGGGACTGGGAAGTAGCAGAAGTGGGGAGACCTGAACCTGTTGGAAAGGCAGATGGAAATGGACCCATAGTCAGTACGGGGTGTGAGGAAAGGAGAGGTAAAGCGTGATGTGGCTCAACCAACAACATGGATCATGATTCACTTGCTGAAGTGAGGAAGGCCCAGGAAAGAGCAGTTTAGGATCTGGGAAAGATGTATATTAAAACTGCCTGGGAAAATGTCAAGCAGATAGAAGGCTGGAACTCAGGGAAAGAAGAAAACTGGTGAGAACAGGTTTGCACGCACCGGCAGATAGACTGTGTATAGAGACATGGGACTCCTGTATCACCTAAGGAACAAAATTATAAAAGACGTTATTCAAGACCCCCCCCAATCCTACAAGACAGTAAAATGTCCGAGAGATAGGACAGAGAGAACAAAGACACAGACACAGAGACTTGAAGAGAGCTGGGTCGTGGGCTGATCCAAGCTGCTCTGGGCAGCAAAGACAAAAGACACCAAGGACATCCAGTGTTTATTCATTACAAGCATGGGAAGGAGGGGACCTGGGCAGGCCTCGGGACACCTGCTGATAACAAGTATCACAGGCAGGGGCACTAGCACATCTTTTGCAGAAGAGAACAAATGGTTAATTGAACAGAAAAGAAAGTATTGGTTTGTTTTGTTTTGGTTTTTGTTGGTACCAGGGGTTGAACTCAGGACCTTGTGCTTTTGAGGGAGGTGGCGGAACCACTGAGCTAAATCCCTGGCCCACAAATGGTTAATTCAGAGGGGAAGAATTTGGTTGGAGTCAAGTTGACCTTGGCTAAAAGTGAACTCAGCCAAGCCCTGCTACTTCACAGTCTAAGACTTAAGTCTCTAGCAGCCATTAGCAAAGGAGAACAAAATAGCACCATATTGCATGTTGATGTGGCTGCCAAAAAATTCCACTGGCTGTACTGCAGGCCCCTTTGTCCCCAACTAACTGAAGGACTGAGGGCCTGGCCTGCCAGGAAGGTTGGGATGGAGGCCTCCAGCTGCTATGCAGGGAGGGGCACATTCAGGCTGCAGGAACTCCATATAAGGGCTGGTGCCAGGTGATGCAACAGGACAGGCAGTACATAAGGAGGCTTCGTGACCTCTCTGAAATCAGGAAATGGATTCAGCTTCCTGTCCTTCAGTTGGAAAACCAGACATTACAGAGAGGGCTCCATGGGCTGGGGCTGCTGGTCCCATTTTGTTCCCACCCTGGGGCCCTGGGTTGACGGTGCAGACCCTGACTTGCCCAGCAGAGAGGAGCTAATGCACTGGGTCAGATGCCAACTCATGATGAGCCACAGCATGGACTTTGCTCCTGGTTCCTCTTGTAGCCCTGACTCATTTTTCCCAAAGGCTGGCTGGGTATATGGTGGGGGGAGGGAGATGTCTTTGGTTTTTGGAAAAGAAGGTACTGGAAAATTAAGCACGTTTGGGTGGGGGAAGCCCCCACAGAGAAGAGGCCCCAAGGGCTTTACCTGAGCCTGGGCTCATTCTGAGTCTGCTGAGTAATTCTGAGCCTGCCCAGAATTCTGCCTAACACACTGTCAATAAAGCCTGCTCCTCCACAACCTCAGCTCTGGGCTGTTCTTGCTGGGGAGGCCTTGAGCGTGTTG